GCTTCCTCGTCGAAATGTCCAAGAACAGGTGGTGATGCCAGGCGAAGCCGAAGCTCTGTGAATGCTGATTCTTGTTCAGCACTCCAAACGAACGGCGTATCGTCTCTAGTGAGTCTAGTTAATGGTTCGGCAATTTTCGAAAAATTGCCTATAAAGCGCCGGTAGTACGCGCATAGACCAAGAAACCGCCGCACACTTTTCTTATCGGCAGGAGTCGGGAAGGCTGCGACAGCGGCGGTTTTCTCAGGGTCAGGACGGACGCCTTCTGCACTTACGACATGTCCAAGGAACTTTAGTTCTTCGTAACCGAAATGGCATTTTTGCGGCTTTAACGTAAGGTTAGCCGTCCGAATCGCCTCAAGTACTTGTCGTAGTCGCTTCAGATGTTCGGAGAAGCTGGTTGAAAACACGACCACATCATCCAAGTACACAAGGCAGCTTTGCCATTTTAAGTCAGTCAACACAGTGTCCATCATGCGTTGGAAGGTAGCTGGCGCAGAGCAGAGTCCGAACGGTAGCACCCGAAATTCGTAGAGGCCATCCGGCGTGACAAAGGCGGTTTTTTCGCGGTCGCGCTCATCAACCTCAATTTGCCAGTAGCCACTCTTTAAATCCAGGGAAGAAAAATACTTCGCTCGTCGTAGTCGGTCAAGCGAGTCATCAATACGCGGCAGCGGATAAACATCTTTTTTTGTGACGTTGTTGAGCTTTCTGTAATCTACACAGAAGCGAAGCGTACCGTCCTTCTTCTTAACCAGAACGACCGGTGAGGACCAGGGACTGTTCGAAGGCTGGATAACGCCGTCGTCGATCATTTCTTTCACTTGCTGCTTGATAGCTGCGCGTTCTGTCGGCGAGACGCGGTATGGCTGTTGGTGAATAGGTCTTGCGTCGTCGTAAGTGATTATCCTGTGCTGTGTAATTGGCGTCTGACTCACTTTAGACGACTGAGCAAAGCACGCCCTGAATTCAAACAATAGCTCTCGCAAGGCCCTCTGGTTCTCTTCTGGCAGTGCACTGTTCATGTCAACATCTATTACGGTTTGTCCATTGCGGCTACTGTCTTCACAGGCAAAACACTCAATGACGTCCTCCAAGGCTTCAGCGTAGGCGACCGCAGTGCCCCGGAAAAGGTGACGATGCTCATTGGTGAAATTTGTAATCATGACCTCGGCTGTACCGTTCCGAATGTCAATGATGCCTCGTGCCACAGAAATTCCAAGCGCCAGCAGCAGGGAGACGTTGCACTCTGCCACTGTTTCACCGTCACTGGTTCCTTCGGAAGTCACCTGAATTAGGATACTTGCACGAGGTGGTATTGTGACACTGTCGTCGGAAACACGGAGGGCGGTTGTACGGCGGTTGGAGTCCCTTGACGTAGCGTTGACTGTCGAAAAGGAAATGCAGCGTCGCCGTAGGTCGATTACGGCGCCATATTCCCGAAGAAAATCGAGGCCGAGAATTAATTCGCGGGAGCAGTCACGTAGCACGATGGAGCTGACCAAAAACGTGCAGCCTCGTATTTGTAGCCTGGACGTGCACAAACCAACCGGCGTTACAACATGTCCGCCAGCTGTACGTACATGCGATCCTGCCCAAGGCATTATCACTTTCTTCAAGGTACGTGCCAATTGTCCGCTAATAATCGAGTAGTCAGCACCAGTGTCTATTAAGGCAGTTAAATTGCGACCGTCGAGCAGCACAGGTATGTCCATTGAAAAGTCGCTCAGCTGGGATACAGGCGCCGGCGTAGTCGAATTTCCGTTGGTCCGATGTCGCGTCGATTGGAGGGCGAGGTCTTCATCACGTCGAGAATCAGCGGCCTCGCCTCGAAAGGTCGCTGGCGTTAGTTTTCCAGGCGAGGGCTCGGAGACCGTCCTTGCGGCCTTCGATTTCCGTTGCCTGAATAAGATGACGACCGCGGTGACGGTGAGCGCGACTGACGCCTGAGTGGGACGTTCTGCCGAGCGATAAAATCTTCAATTTCTGGTGGTCTCTGTCCAAACCGGGGGCGGGGTGAATTGGCAGGAAAACCCTGCAGCCCAAGTCGGCGGTACTGGCAGTCTCGGTAGAGGTGACCCGCTTCACCGCAGTGGTAGCAAAGCGGTCGTCGGTCGGGCATGCGCCATATGTCGGATTTACGCATGACGGGTCGAGTGTCTGCAAAATAAGGGACCACCTGTGCGGACTGCAGTGTGGCGTACGGGGTTGCGGCTGGTAGTGGGACTGGTGCAGGTGCGTTGTGTTCGAACGTGTCGGTATAAGTGGTGCGCTGGAAACCACTCACTGGGGATGGTGTCGTGGACGACGGAACGGTGCGTCTCAATACGTCTGCGTAGGTCACCCCTAGAGGTTCACTTGAAGTTGCGAACGCCTGAAGTGGTGCAGCAACCTGCGTTGGTGTCTCGTGGCGAGGTGTGCCGAGCGCATGCTGAACTTCGTCACGTATGATGGTGGCGATGCAATTCGTGGAAGGCTGCTGCTGCGCCTGGTTCAGCTGTTGCAGCTGTTGTAGCTCGTCGCGAACAACCGAACGTATCAGCTCGCGAAGCGCTCCCACGTCGGTCGGGAACGAGCCTAGCCCGGTGGTATAGGTAGCATTCACTTGCCGATCGTACTGGTTCCGCTGCTGCAGCGCCTTTTCCATGGCGACGGCTTCAGTGAGGAACTCCGCGACCGTTCTAGGCGGACTACGAATGAGTCCAGCGAAGAGCTGCTCTTTCACACCTCGCATCAAGTGTCGCAGCTTCTTGTCTTCCGGCATGGTTGGATCGGCGCGAGTGAACAGATGAACCATATCCTCCACGTATGTAGCCACACCTTCATTAGGCATCTGCATGCGGGACTGGAGGGCCCTTTCAGCGCGCTCTCGACGATCGAGACTCGAGTACGTTTCGCGGAGCCTGTGACAGAACTCATGCCACGACGTTAGGAGGCCCTTGCGGTTCTGGAACCATGTGCGAGCACCATCCAGAAGACTAAAGTACACATTCTTGAGCTTCGCTACTTCGTCCCACCCGTTGAAATCCGCTACGTACTCGTACTCAGCCAGCCAATCTTCCACATCTTCATAGAGGCCACCACGAAAGGGACTCGGAACACGTGGTTTTTGTAGCGTGTAATGAGTGGGTGCAGCTGCGGGTGCAGCGGTTGGAGCAGCGGCGGCTCCAGCGGTAGGGGAAGCGGTGACAGCAACAGTATTCTCCATACCAGTCGACGTACTTGTACTGTGAGGCACAAACTCGGGGGACAGTCCTCGAATCCTCCGACTGAAACGGTGTACCGGCGTAAGCTCTGGGTTTTGGGTCACGTTCCGGCTGCTAGAAGGAGTCTGTTGCATAGGGGAGGTTACCCCGCACCTCCACCATTAGAATGTCACGTTAAAGAGACAGGAGACGTTTTTAAGGCGTCCTCACAAAAGTCCGAAGAGCGGTCGGCTCAGCGCAGCCAAAAACAGAACAATGGCACGAGGGGGACTGCCACTTCGTCTGCCTCTTTTGCGCTGGCAGCTCAAGCGCGCGGCAATATTGTAACGTTTTTCAGCATAGCAGTCTAGCCAAGTTGTTTAGAAAAAGTGGGTAACGATTTAAAGTACTATGGTTATTCTACTATGGGTCTAGCCAAGTTTAGCCATAATAGTAGCAGCAGCTTTAGTAAACACTTGGAAACACTAGCAGAACTAAGCTATAGGTCGAACACTATAACCGCTGAATAGTTTCAGCCTTGCGCCAGTAGAGAGAGCTGCATTTTTTTTTTTCACTTTATGTAGAAATGTAAAGAACGTTCGACATTTTTTGCAGTTTCTATCGAACATTCAATTTTTTTTTAATTCTCTTAAGAACATCCGATTAAGAATCCCTCTAGAGAGGCGAGACAAAGACGAGGCACGGTCAGGGATAAAAGATGCAAATTTTTTTTTTATTTTAAGACCGGGTCCCGACCCCTAATGCAGAGCACGCGACCATCTGCTTTCGAGACACGCCACGGAACACTGATTAAGTTTGAGTAAATGTGATCGTTTTTTTTTACTGATACTTGTGCGCTACTCTTTTAGTAATTCAATTATTTATGCTTTCTTCTGAGTGATTTCTTCCTTATTGTAGTCCGGAAGTATTATTGAGCAAACGCTAAACCAGACTCCTTGTATCGTTCGCACACAAAAAAAAATTTAAAAAAAGAAGGAAAAGCGAGAAAAATTCTGGGTGGCTATACTCGGCGGTATAGTCTTATTTTTGCCCAGCGTTGTTCTCTTGCAGATACAGACGTGCAGAGCTTGTACGTGACTAGAAACACGACTGAAGTGTCCGAGACGGTTGCCAGAAGCAGCATTTGTTAAAAGGACACTAAACAGAAAATAACTTTTTTTACCGCGTTAGCAAATTACTCTTTCAACGACGCCAAAAGCAGCACGCTTGCAGCAAAAAGACGCCGAGTATAAGCGAGAAAACGTTCAAGAAGAAAGTGGCGAGGTCCACATCGAAGTTTGCGCATCGTCGCCGTGACGTCACTTATTTTGACTGCGTCTACTAGGGCCTACGTAGCTCCTAATCGACAAAAATTAGGTACATTGTCTTCTGAGCAAGCTGGTGAACGAAAATAACCATGTTTCTAAAAATTTCGTTGAGCCAATGTGACCAATATACGAAGACTGAAAGACGGGACGTCGCCACCGGATAATTCAGCGGGAAATTTAAAAAGCGATACCTCTGACAGTGACTTCCTCATCTATTAATGAACCTATGGCAGTGAAATTACCGACGCTGTAGAGTTTCCAGAGTATAATTAATCGATGGAGACTAAATGAGTGTTTCACTCTAGTTGTTCTCTAGGAGGAAACCTGCCGAAGTTCACTCGGCGCAATTATCCGTTCCGTTCACTTGATACGGTAAGAAGACGCCCCAATCATGCTGCCTCAGTGTGCTGCATTGATGGCCATAGCGCGAGACAAGCACAGTGATGAGGCAGCTGCACGGCTGCATCGTCAAAATGAGAGGCCTCACCTTCGCAGTCGGACGCCGCCTTCCTTCACGTTCGCGCTGGGCTGCCCATGTTTGATCCACACCTGCGCAGAGAGAGAGACACGCGTTAGTCTTTCAGAACACGCCTTGATGAATGCGCACGTGGAGAAGTTTCCCTCTGTATAGTGCACTCATCAAGGTAAGCCTCTAATTACAGAGAACACCCGATCTCGAACACCCGATCTCAGGGAGCTGTCGGGCTAGGCAATCTATTCGCACTTTCCAGATCATCTAGCGCCAACGCGCGGGATTTTTTCAGAAGCCGCAATACGGTGATGGTTTAGGTTGGTGCGGGCGCGTCGTATAGTCGTGCTGCGCCGTGGTGAAAAACGGAAGAGCGAATAGCAATCACACCTGTAGCGTTACTATCTCCTAAATAACCCCGGTTTCACAGCGTCCATGTCAAAAGACTACGTTGAACATATTCAACTTTTCATAAACGCCTCCCAGGGCGCCGCCATAGCCCTCCTTGGGCTGTGCAAATTGGCGCGTCCCCTCGAAAATGCACTGACAACGCTGCGCCCTTAGCCTTTGTACTCCCGCGCACAGCCCACCATGGCGGTGTTTTTTTTTTTTTTTCCTTCCTGTGAAAAGGTGTATAGTTTCGCAGCTAAGCAGGCACAGGGAACCATACATCTCGCCATAAACGCACGCGTGGCGCTTTGTTTACACCAGCGCTACCACTGTTCGTTCTAAATTCTCGCATATCGTATATAGAGTTTTCAAAACGTGACCAGCGACAAACTCTGCCTCTCCTTCGTCAATACATCTCTGTGTTTAGCGCTTAGAGGTATACCAGAGGCATGAAAGCCGCCTGATTCTCGAGACGCGCACGCTAGCCTCCATCACCTCTCGACCAGCCATATTGAAAGGCTCTCCGCACCACCTCCAGGTGCTGAAAAGTGCGAATACTGCCGCATGATGCGGTTGTACAGGTCAAAGTACGAAACTCGCCCGTGCGCGTGTGTGTCAGTGTTTCGGCAAGCACGGACACGCTCTGAACCATTCATATTGCCACGTACCTTTCTTCAAGTTTTGTTATCGACATGCTACACTATGTTCAGAGCAAACCACGCCATACGTTGTTAGAGAACCTTCGAGGCTGATCGTTTCGTTAAGATAACGCCCACTTCGTGAATCTTTCAGATTATTCTGGAAACAACGTCGCCGCTGGCGATAACACTAGAACGTTCGATGGCAAGTGTAATAACGCCGACGCGGTTCGCCCCTCGTCAGTTGATCGACGGCCGACGCTCCCTTCGCCGCTATCAGTCCAAGACATGCTACTGTAGTCCGACTTTCCGTTTACAGGGCACAGGTTGACCCAAACGAACAATTCATTATTCGACTCGCAGTGCGCTCCATTCGTCCACGTCACGACCCCGGGACAATATCATCGACCCCGTAAAGACGCGTGTACAGGTAGCTTCTCACGTGAAAGGCCGGACACCGAATTCTTTCCTATAAAAAGTGGGCGAGGAGCGGAAGGAGCTATTCGCGGGTGAGTTATGTCCACACGACTCGTCACAACCCTCCTGGCAACGCGTATTGACACTGTCGCGTCGGTGCGAGTCAGGTCGACCCGGTGGCATCGAGATGTTCGATGAACACGATTTTCCATAAGACACACGAGCTGTCAAGTGAATCAGCAAGACGCGTGTTTGGGAAAGTTGGTTCGTATACTTGATGCGAAACAGACGAGCGCCATGAAACGGAGACACAAACAAGACGCACACTGTACAGGCGATCAACTTTCAAGTTTCGGGAAGCGATTGATTGATTGATTGATATGTGGGGTTTAACGTCCCAAAACCACCATATGATTATGAGAGACGCCGTAGTGGAGGGCTCCGGAAATTTCGACCACCTGGGGTTCTTTAACGTGCACCCAAATCTGAGCACACGGGCCTACGACATTTCCGCCTCCATCGGAAATGCAGCCGCCGCAGCCGGGATTCGAGCCCGCGACCTGCGGGTCAGCAGCCGAGTACCTTAGCCACTAGACCACCGCGGCGGGGCGTTTCGGGAAGCGAAAATTAGGCGCCTGTCCTGTGTGGCCCTTGTATATGTCCCCGTTTCATAGCACTCGTTTGTTTCACATCATGTTAAGTTAATGTTTTCCTATTGTTGTATATCGCGACATGAGCTCACAAGATTGTAAAGGACAGAGACGAACGGCACGCCTGCTGTTTTCCTCTACGTTTAATGCCACACTGAATTCTAATGATGATAGTAGGCGCAGCGGCGCAAGACAGTCTTCGTCTTCCATTTTTAACGAAGACCATGTAGTAATACAAAACACTATCTAGCTAGTTCGCATTGTTTCGTGCGCTTTCGCGATATTTACATCAACGTGACGAGCACCAACCATACCGTTTTCACGCGGACACGTCTACCATAGCATATTGGTTTAAAGACACAAAATATCAAGACTCAATATAAGGCGTGCCATCCGTAAGGTACGCATTCGTAAAATAATCTATAAAAAGAAAACCCTTTAAAATGCGTGAAACCCTCAAACCCTCAATGAAGCATTTTACCACAGAGCTACGCCAGGTCTCGGAACCACTACTTTTCAAACAGACGTTAATCTTCGTGAAACATCCATAGTGGTTGCAGTGCTGCCTACCCAATTTTATAAACATTACAAACGTGCTCCTCACATACATCCGTCACGTCGGGTCAACGTCAATGGTGGATAGTTGCCATGCGCTGAAGTTGATTTATGTGGCAGTGTTCAGGGCCAGCATCCTCGGAAGCATCAGCGCCTCACACCAGCGTCTGGTGTTGCTAATGCGTATGTTCCAGTTGGCATCGTTGCGCAAGTGCAAATAACTGGTTATATAAACATCTGCAACTCTTCAACATATGTCCGTGCGTGCAACGTTTGTACATATATTTAGCGTCATTTCATGACGCGTCACATAATTGCAAAACGGTCACCTACCCTCCGCATGCTTCGCATAACGTCGATTCCCAGGTAAGTGGGATCCGCCGAATTTTTTTCTTTTTTACGTTCACAACAAGTGCAAAACATCAGCTTTGCGAACACGAGTAAAATAATGCATGCAACCTGTCCTGAAGGTTGCCTAGCTTCCTGCTGTACACGGTTTAATAACAACTTAACCTAACCAATGTTCATCTAACCAGTCTCAGTCTTCACCAAGAGTTCTAAGCTTTAAAAGAGAAAGCGCAACCCCTCCCCCCTCTTTTTTTTGTGGCCTGCATAAGTTTCAGCAAATAACAAATGCGTACGGAGCTGAGCATTTCGGATAATTTAATCAATCTCCTAACTGCAGCACTGCACTCCATAACTCTTTTCCGCTCGCCAAACTCCTTTACGGGTACTATGCTGTGAAATCTGAAGCAAGATTAATAATTCTCCTAACCTGCTCTATAACTTTTTTTTTATTGTACTTTCACATTCATGTAACAAAAAACTTCGCAAGTGTTTGCGAAGTTTTTTGTTACATGAATGTGAAAGTTACAATAAAAAAAAGGACCACCACACAAAAAAAAACAGCACTTTCCTCAGAGCACTGTATACAACATACGAGTATGTGGCGGCACGCTATTTTCAATTACTCAAGAGCTCAACCTCGAGATCCACGTTAGCATTACCACAGAGAGGGCGTTCGTGGCACGGGACGCGTACGGCACGTGCCATGCCGACAGAGCTGCCTCGTTAGCCGCAAAACGAGGACTCCGAGGTTTAGCCTCGACTTCATCAGAAGTCGCGTCGCGACGGGGCGGGCGCCCAGCCGACGGCAGCCATCGGGTAAATGCTGAGCGCGCGGTTCACTTATAATAACCTCCTCGAGTCCGCTCTTTTTCACTCGATTCTTCACGAGGAAGCACACGCTAGCGCCGGCGCCATAACGAGCAGTGTTTAGACGAGCACGGCGGTTAATGGCCGCCGGATAATCAGCCACCAAATGTTGATCATCGAGCACTCGATTAAAAGGATACGGAAGAGAAAGACATTTTTTAAGTGTGAATATTCTTTATAAGCGACCCCAAACCATCCACCGCCGTCGGCGGCGTCCGCAGTCTTCTCTCTATCTTTGAAAGAAAGAGGACTTGGCGACCGCAGCGCGACGCTCTACCGAATAAGCCACGGACGCGACGCTGATAGTCCCCCTCCCCCTTCGCTCGCTCCTCCGCTCTCCTCGCTCGCTGCAGCTGCGCGCGCACCCCTCTCTCTCGCGCGCCCGCCTTCTCTCTCAGTCTCCCGTCGAGAGCGGGTCGTGCGATGGATGTCCCGGAGGCAACGCTACCATCTGGATATAAGGCGCGTTACTGGCACCAATATTAGCGTCGCCAACGGATTTTAACTTTACTCCTTCTCATAGCATCACCCCGTGCATTCGCACTTAACCATGTTCCCCCTTGGGGAAATGCTTGGGAGTTTTTTTTTTCTGATATCAGGATTTTTTTTTAGGGGCGAAGCTCCTTAGGGCGTGGGCTGTGCGTCCCCTGTATGTAGCCACCTCTAGTTTAGCTCTTGCAGTGTTCACTAGATGGCGGTACCGTCCCCTGTATGTAGCCACCTCTAGTTTAGTTCTTGCAGTGTTCACTAGATGGCGGTACCGTCCCCTGTATGTAAATGCTCGTGGTATGTAAATGCCTGTATGTGGTGAATACAAGTACCTTGGAGTATGGGTAAATGAGAGTGATAGATACATGGAGGTACAGGAAAAAGCCTCGGCAGCAAAAGGAAAGAGGAATGCGGCAATAATGAAGCACAGAGCGTTGTGGGGATACAATAGGTATGAGGTGCTTCGAGGTCTGTGGAAGGGTGTAATGGTTCCAGGGCTTACTTTTGGGAACTCAGTGGTGTGCATGAGGGCAGAGGTGCAATCGGGAATGGATGTAAATCAAAGGACTGTGGGACGCCTCGCGTTGGGTGCTCACGGGAAGACGACAAACGAGGCTGTAAAGGGCGATATGGGGTGGGCAGGTTTTGAGGCGAGGGAAGCGCAGAGCAAAATAAGGTTCGAAGA